GAGGATCGGGGATCTGTCTCCGGTGGGTTTTGGTATGGTCTTCCTATGAACACTTGCACACCCAAAAAAACACATCTATATGTCATCTATATATATATATAACAATTATATACAATAATATATGAATTCCTTGTTGTACACTCTCTAGTCTTGAAAAAGATCCATACCCAAAAACTATGAAGACCCTCGAAAAGAGTCACACCCACTGACACCATGACGAGGACTTCATTCTCTTCCAAGCCAACCTGTTCAGCGGTGACTGTCCAGGATGTCTGTGAACTCATCTGTTCGATCATGGGTGGGCCCATGATCGACCCTGATTGAAACAGTCAGTCAAAAAAGAAAACGCAAAACCAGGATGTCTCGAACATGGGTGGGCCCTGTATAGCAGCTGAAATCCACCAAACCTACGAGATCCTCCTGTGTTCCTTGGCATCACGGGCTGCGTTCCATCCTCAGCTCCTCCCCGTGCCTTCACAGCAGCTTCCCTCGTGGCTTCCTGCAGCTGCTCGTGGTATCCACCGAGTTCGGCGCCTTCTTCTTTGTGAAGAAGGCCATGAGAGGTGGTGAACCAACTAAACGAGTTCCAAGAATGTCCATGCTGCTGGTTCACATCAACCAACTCTGGTATGAGTCAACTGGCTGGTAACACGCCGACCAAGCCTACCAGTACATTATCACCCAACAACCCCAACCCGGACCAACTCTGGTTCTCATCAAGAAACATTATGAACCAACTCTGGTATCTGTTTTCTTTTGAGCGTCCAAAACCCACCGGTCGCGACCCGGCCACACCGCAGACCAGGCTGGTACTTTCCATACAAGTGGATACCGCACTCCTTCGGGTTGCCACTCACCCAGATGGAGCCAGAGCGGCAGACTCGCCAGGCTCTTGGAACTCAATTCGACTCGGTACACCACAAGTCGGGTCAGTTGAATTTGGAATATCAAACTCGGCTCAACATGAGGGAAATCCCACTCAGACCAGATTCTGAAATCGTTTCCACTCCTATCCTTTGGAACCTTCCCATGCTTTTGGTGTCCAAACGACAGAAAAGGGCACACACGTCCAGAGGTGTAGCAATCTTAGGGAGAGCATCTGGCATGTACTTGGGTCTTTGGGATGACACACACCTCACCAAATCCGCCAGGCAACCCACACCATATGGTTTTAAAACATCCCGTAGACATACATACCACCTCGAGACATGGCTACTGTGTGGTCATCAAGTTTGCCTATGGCTCTTGTGTTACATATTATTGGGATATGTCTCCTCCGCACAAAACACCAATTTCACAAGGGGTCCTCCAGCGAGAGTAGTAGTTTGCATGCATCGTCGTATAGGCCTCAAGCATCGACAACGACACATGGACGTGGACAATAGACCGCCAGGCTCCTTACATTGGACAATTTTCCTTAACCAAGTTGGTGTTTCTCGGGTTGAAGTGCTGGTTTTGTGGTAGGTCGAAGAACCAACTCTACCATGAGCTTGCTGAAAAGACTCCGCAAGTGTTCCTTCCTTCATGTTGTATTTTGAAACTATTTGAACTGCACACCCCTTGAATAAAAAAAATTGCCTATAGGTCCAACAACAACAATCGAATCAATTGACACTTGGAAACGTCTCTTCCCGGACTCTCTGCACCAAATTATTTCTTACAAGCGGTTACATGGTGTAAATATACAATATATACCTTATATCATATCATTGTTTCTTGCTGACATCGCATGCAACTAGTTCGGGATTGAACCCCCAGTGCACCTGAGAAAAAGAGTTTCTAAGGATTCTATGACCGGGTCATGGATCTAGTTTGCACAACCGTAGAGACAGGACATCATTCGCAGACCACCGCTACATCCCTCAATCTGGCGTCTACCTCCACAACTGCTGGATGGTCTTGTAGCATTCTACAGCCCTTTAGAAGCAATGTGCTTGATGAGATTTGATGAGTATCGTTCAGTCAACCGGAACTTCGCCCCCTGTGGCGCGGGCTTCGCACACCCCGGGCACCCCGGCTCACTGCCTCTTGGTACTGCCCAGCCAGCTGCTCTGCCTCTGCGGCGGCGCGGCGCGCCAGCGCCTGTGCGCGCACCTGGGGTGGCTCGGGGATGCAGGGCTGAGCTTCGCCACGGTAAGGGGGCCGCTACACTACCTGGAACAATCATGGAAGTGGATGGGATGGCCCCTTGGATGACTATTTCCCTCTCTACAATCAAATGGTTTTTCATGGTCTTCCGCTTCCATGATTGTTTCAGGGAATGTCAGCCTCCGCTTGCACAAAGGATGTACTCGTCTTCCAAAAAATGACTGCCACAAATGGTCCTGGCAGGTATGTGTAACCTTGGTGATGCCGCCCATGTGCACCTTGCTCGAACCCCAGTAATAAGAATCTTTCTTGTCAAAAACCTCCCCATATTGTTCAAGCCCATATGCCCCCAGAATTCGTTCAGTAGTACAGTATACCTCTGTTCCACAGTCCCTAAAAACTCTCTATTAAACTATTTCATTTCCCCTACGTGAGCATTCGCGCGCATTCTGTTGGAGTACCACCTATATTAGGTCTGGTCTGTCCTATCACCCAACTCCTGTGGGCCCTGGTATACAAGCATGTGTTTCCAAAGGCCCAGCCGTACTCCCTACCCCAGGCCTCCGCGGACGGCACGCGCACACTGTGCATCTCCCCTGGAGCACCCGGCCGCGAAAAGAACATCCATGTCGTCTACCAGGACACCCCAAAATAACTTAAGGGATGTGTATTAATATGTATTAACCACCCCCTTGGTGGTCCTGGTACGCTGAATGACAAAACGGATTCTCAAACTTTGGGGCAATAGGGGTACAGCCTGCAGCTTCAAGGTGCCGCAAACCCACAAACCCTTCACCATGCACTTCAAAGTTCAATTGTTGGGGATGCAGTCACCTCAAGCAAGTTGGCCACCATGGCAAAGAACTCGAATTTGAGTCATGCATGACTTGAGTATACTACTGACTAGTAACTTAGGACTTGTCGGACATACACGCCAATTCCAAAAGCCTATGTCATCAGGATTGATCCAACATTGGCATTTCCTCTTAAGGCCTATGTCATCAGGCCACAACCATGATATTCATAGAAATATGTATGAGGTATTCAAGGAAGCAGCGCCCGCAAAAACACATAGTCGCACCCTATGTCACCACTGTGTCACCGGGGTGCCAGGCAGTGGTATCTAGCATTATTTAGCTGTTGTTCTTTTTTTTGTCGAGGAGGTGTCCACAGGTCCTATGACACCAGGTTTCCCAACCCAGACATGTTTTTTGCTCGATATGTCAGGGCACATGACTTAGCCCTGGGGGTAGCCAGATTCGTATGTCACTTGCATCACGTTGGCCTAAGTCATTAGACAGTAGTATAAATCTCACTACCACTAACAGTGGATGATGGTTTTAGTAAAGACGGTGACGGCCTTTCTGAAAAACTGATTATGTTTTACCAACTGTTAATGGTTTACTGGGATACACCCTTCTGGCCCACACTGCCAACGTCTCTGTTCCCGTGACTCCCCTGCCCGGGCGAAAGAAAAGAAGACAAACACACTCGAGCAACTCCACGCTCGTGTGGTGCTTGGGGGTCGCTTCTTGTTGAGAAGGATCCGTATATTGTACGCGATTTGGACATAAAAAGACCTCAGTAGACCTCAGCACGACTTCGTTCTGTGTAGCCCGTTATCCTCTCCTACTGGAATACATAATCATTCTGTGGGAGGCAGCCTGTTTTTCATATCACTCAACAGAACTCCCCTGGTCGTCACTGCGCACCGAGACGTACAAAGCACCCACCGAGACGCTGTCTCATCCACCATCGGTCTACGCGAAGAGCCACTTGTGCTTTGGGGGGTTTGCTGCAAAGATGGTTTTCTGTTTGAAGGGCTGTGCTTGACTGGCTGGAACAAGCTAGGAAGGTGCACAGCTTCCGACTTGAATTGGCTGATCTGCAAGGTGCAAACAAGTGCGATCGTGTACGAATGTGCTTCTTCACGTGCCAGTCACATATTGCTTGCAACTAGGCAAAATAGACAAGAGATGACAAAAGATTCAGAATATCACTGAAACCAAAATAACATCAAGCACCCGCTTTCTTCCACAAGTGCCAAGGTGCCTGCTCTTGTTCAAAAGAAACAACCCTGTGTTCTCCAAGCTCCATGGGTTTCCCTTCAGGGTGTTTGTCTCTCCTGCTTTCTTGTGTGGGTGATGCTTGAGCAAGAGCTGAGGATTGAAATCAAGCCAGACTCAAGGCATTCAAAACCGTCACTGGCCTGCCAAATGTTCTAAGTCAGATTTGTGGGGTGAGTTTGCGATGGTCAATGGTGATTCCAACACCAAGCAGCTCAAGCACCTTCAGATTACACATGACATGAAAAGCTGCAAAACCGTCATGGCAAAGCTGCGCAAGCAAACTGCCAAGAAATCTCACCTGCATGTAGACTACCAATAAACAAAACCCTATGACACCCTATAAGCTTCATTGATCCGGGTTCGGTTTGGCAAACACAAAGGATCTGCCGCTGCAGAACTACCGAGTCCCCAAACAAACAATTGTCCCAGTATGTCCCAGTAGGGTCACTTACTGTGGGCCATGCGCTTCAGTGCAGGGCATGGCAACCAATTCGGAGTCAGCTCAAAATCACAGTATACTAACCATAACTATAATTACAATGATGATCAAATGATGAAGGTCTGTCTCTCAAAAATGAGGACCCCCCCAAACAGTATTGCTCCTCCAGTGTCCCCTAGTAACATGGGCTTTTCCCTGTGAGGTGGGCCTACCAAATAAGCTCACCCAAATGGCTCATGCACAAACAGCTCGCACCATCTCGCACCCAAACATTGGATTTGCTTCTGGAGTTGGACCATACAGTAAATCCTAAGCATATTTGCCAATCTCCCCAGGGGATTGACGGAAACCATCACTCGCCCATCCAGCAAGATTTCGTGGACCGATCATCTGGGATCCCACGCAGGTCTGAGAGTGGCAACACCAACAGGCGACCGAGGTCGCGTGAAGGAGGGCCGTCACCGCGGCGCATGTGCCGCTGCAGCCTGCAAGCTCCGGAGGCGGAAGAACCACATGGACGGAGGTGTGACGTCGCGCCCGGTGTCCAAGTGAGGTGGAAAACAAGTAGTTGGACTACTTCACACGCCCATCCAGCTCTTAAGTGTGTATATATGTGGTTGATATGATTCTGATGGTTCTGCCTTGTAAATGCTCTGTGATTGCTTTCTGCGACGTCGTTCTCTTTGGACCAGATCTGTGATTTCACAAACCTCCTTGCCTCTAGCTCAACTTGTTTAAACGTATAGAGTCTCAAACGCCGTCTTGCTCCCAAAGGAAGCTGGCGTGATGTGGCCTGGTCCTTCTCCCAGTCGCCCGGGGCGCCTTGTTGGGATCTCATACACCACGCCAGACTGACAGGCCTTTCGACGAAAACACCCAAACGGCATTCAAACGGCCCGGGTGGCTTCTCAAAGACCTCACGATTTCTCGAAGGGAGGAGTTTGTAGGCCGCTGCATGCATGCAACCGAAACAACAACCCTATCACAATCCTATCGATAATCGAAAAAACCCAGCGACCCACAGTGGCCCCAGTCCAACAAACCATTGAATCCATTCGTACATCCCTTGGATTCACTTGGACCCTCCCGTTTTCGCCATCTGCGGTCTCAACCCTCCAAGTCTCTTTCAGCAGGTCCATCAGGTCCTGTCCATCATCTCCTTGGTCCAAAACCTGCACCCCGATGTACACCACCTGTGTGAAAGCATCTTCACGCCAAACACTTCGATCGGACCCGGGAGGCCACCACCTCTCACCCCGCTGCTCGACGGCCCAGGGCCCCAGAGGTCCGAAGCCTCGCCTGAAGCCTCAGGCGCCCGCCCCGGACTCGGGACACCTGGCAAGTCCAGGAAAAGCGGATGCTCATGGATGCTCCCATGTCAGAGTTCACCACGGCTGTCAGGATCGCCATTCTCCATGTGTCTCCATGTATTGAAGAGTTTTATATATATATATAAGTATATATATATATGTATACCTACATCAGGATCATTTTCATGGGGTGAATGTAACTATTCCAGTCCCACTTGTCGGGTCTGGCATCGGAAAATGATTGGAATCGGATGGAATCCTGCAAACCCCCTGTTGCCATAAACCTATAATGTAGACTCGTGATAAACCAAAACCCATCAAAACCCCACAGGAAGAGGTCTACAATCCACAAAGAGGTGGTATCTCAAGAAGACCCTCCCTGCCTAATGTGGAAGCCACCTATAAGTTCATTGAAGATATGCTGATGCACATGCCACATGACCCACCGTATCATACGGAAGTCCCGATGCCCAAGCTCCCTGAGGGATTACCCATCCGAACTTGGCCCAATTGGGAAGAAGTTGCTCCTGAAAAGCAAGAAAAATTCCTTCAAAATGTGCACAATGCGCTTTTCAGGAACAAACCATTCGACTCATTCGACTCTGACCGACCACCCTTTAATTAGATGCTTAATTTAGATTTTACCCAACCAATTAGCTTCAGGTGAGAATGCAGAAACCTCGTCCTTGTCGCTTGTGGGCATACGGCCCAATCTTGCTCTTTCGTCCTGTAGATTTCGTTCCGTGTTTTCGTAGTTGTACAGGTAACGTGCGTTTTCTCACCCACTCTACTTACACCCGCTGTACAACACAGCAAGGGGTAACGTAGAATCGCATCCGAACCGCAAGTGAGCGCATCCAAATTCGGGTGGTTTATTATGATGTCTGGGAGTCTATATTGATATAGGCTCTCCTCAGCCATGCCGCCTCAAAGAAGCGCCCAGGTCCAGAGCTCGAGCTCAACCGGGAAGCTCCCAGCTCCAGGGGACACAAGTGCCAGCCTCCCGGTAAAACGGGAAACGAAGCGGAGGAGGTGTCCACGATTGGTCAATTGGGAAGAGGTCTGCAAAAAGAAGGGACCTTATACCACTACTAGGAGCAAGGACGCTACTACGGAGTTTGGGACCATGGACACCCTGGCTATGCATGTTAAATTCAATACCCACCCCTTCCGTGGTGCTGGTATATGTTCAATATGCTCTTGGGGATGACTCATTTCCTGCAATTATAGGTTCATGAATATAATAGAATTAATGTAACGAAATTACATGAATTAATAGAAACATGATGATAGATTTACGGTTTCAGGATGTTTAAGGAACATCATCAACCGAACAGCCGACTTCGGAACATGCTCCAGCCCCCCCGGAGCTTCCGCCGTCGTCGGACCAGCTGAACGGCCCCGATGAAGAGTTTACGCTCCAGGGGACATGGGAATGATTGTTTTTCCTGATTTCACAACCCCTGAAAGAAGATCCTCAAGGTGGGTGGCAGGGCCCCTGAAATCATGGTTTTGTGGATGGCCAGAGGATGACCATTCTCCTCCACAAACAGGTGGGAAAACCACTGCCAGGATGATTTCAGAGAATGCCTATGAATTGTAATATGATGAATTATGACTCTCAGTCCCATCGATCGTCTCTGGGACAATACACATATCTTTTCTCCGGGCCCCTCCGCCACGTCCGCCGCACCTGGCGTCGCTTCCGCCTGCGGCCCCAGCAGCTCCGAAGAATCCCGCGGAGGCCCCGCGGCGGAGAAGGCGTCGGCTGCCTGGGCCTTGGCGTGTGTTCGGGTGAAGGTGGAGTCGCCCTACACACGGGTCCCACTCGCTTCAGGTCGGCAAGTCACCAAGCTGGCACCGCTGGGCACAGGTTTGGCCGATTTGGGCCCATTCCCAAGCTGCCACCATGTCCTCGTCCACCATGGAATCCCAAGAGTCAAGCCACCCCGACAGAAGGGCACCTTCGATGTCAAGGGGTTACCTGGGGGTGTTTGGTATCATCTCACTCACAATCATCCATGGGGTGGGGTGTTTGGGTATTTACCTACATTGGGGTGGGGTCAATGTATATTCATACATATATTCCATATACATGGATTGTCCGGGATATATCTCACTAAGCAGTCATGATCTGCAGAGTCATCATGCCACTCAACACCCCAAAGGACCCCCCCGGCCACCGAGCGCGAGCAAGTCGGGCGCCTGCCAGAGGGGCGCCTGGAGGAGGTGACGCAGTTTCCTGCTGACGTTGATAGCTGGGAGGACGCCATTTCCTGGGACCTATTGTAGATTCTATTTGAAGAATAATGTTCTAGACGACCGTACTTTTGATGCCCAACTCCAAAAAAACGGGGATCTTGGACATCTGAAAAATCTGGAGTGCCAACACTTGCCAACACTTGACTCCTCAAATTATGTTCCTCAAATGTCCAAAACTTGACTTCACAACTTAAGACATCTTTAGGCTAGCTTGCTGCAAGCTGTTTGCATGCCGGATCTTGCCATCCCAAACATCGTCGTCCCACGGAGTAGAGCGCTTCTCCTCATGGGCGGAACTCCTTCCGCTCCTTCTGCTCGAGGGTGGCTTGCTTTGGCCTCCCAGTGAAGGAAGCTCCACAGGAAAGAATTGGAAGCGCATGGGACAGTCCATGGCACTGAACAGTCCCTAGGGCTCCGACTACCTCCTGAGAAGGTTTTAGGGGTGGGTTTGTGGGGCCTAACCACCTTCTGATGATATGGTTGGAGCCCTAGGGAGTAGCAGATCCTGCCTGTGTTCCATGAACAAAGCTAACAAATGCTAACAGCACCCATTTCGGGTGGTGATTGGAACGTACATATAGACAGGGGTGTCTAAAGATTATCTCTTTCCGTGGTGCTGGTACACGCATAGCAGAACTGTATTTCTCTACAATATCATCCTGCCCGCCCACAAGCATCAATTATTATAAATTACCTTCCTTTGCGATGGAGGCAACCCAGCCAGCTGCCCAAGATAGTGCCCACAGTTGCGAAGACTAACTACTCAGGCCGCGCACGTGTCTAGTAGGGTTTGGTTGATCACACATGTTGCGCGAGCCCACACTCATGAAGAAAATCACAGGGTTTTTCCTGCTCATGTCAAACAGGTTGCTGGCACAGTCGATCGAACAAACTCACCAAGGCAATCATCATGTTGGTGGCAAACACAACGAGCATCATCACTTTGCAACCCGCCATCCGACATCTAACCAAAGCATCATTCTCAGCGAGCAACATCATGTTGGCTGTCTTGGCTATCACTTCACCGCTCGCCCTACCAAACCGCCCGCCCAAGCTGAAAGCAACATCATCTCAGCCGAAGCAATGCTCGACGAAGCAACATCATGTTGTTCGTGCACGAAGCACCATCGTTCTTCGAGCTTCTCGTAACATGGTTGCAAAAAGATCCAGTAAATGTGGGAAGGTCATTCTCCGCGCGAGTATACCGGGTGTGTCCGCACAAAAATGAAAATTCATATCCGACCTTTTCCTGCTAAGGAAATCAGAACAATAAACCTCCAGCAAAGTGTTCCAGGGCTGAAGCACTCGCCCAAGCACTGCCGAGCACCCACTCGCCCAGGCCCAGGCCGGCCGTCTCCATGACTTGCACTGCCAGCTGAACTGCCAGGAAGTAGTTCAACCACCTCAGCTCCGTTGATTTGAGAACACGCGTGGAAAGCCCCGAGAGACAGCGGTGTTGGGCGAAAAAGATACTGTACACAATACCAATCGGGAGAGCCCCCCAGCAATGAGTGCGTATGCCACCTACTCCCTTTCTGTGAGGGACCGATTGTTCAGCACATACCCCTTTCAAGGGTGGAAAATATCCCCTTTCATTGTCATTGAACAGCTGTCTTTCAAGTCTCTTCCTCTCTTTGCTCAATCCACCACCTTGAAACGAACAAGAAACTATAACACCTTCTAGTTTTTTGACTCACAGTCACTACCTATGACAAAACATCCATGAAGGTCGAAGCAGCGTGGAGCTCGGCAGCCCGGATGCTCGGGCTGTTACAGGCGCTTATCTTAAACGAATGCCAAAGGATGCCAACTATTCTCAGTTAATCATCGCCAAAGTGGGGAGCTACATCAAGAACCTGGAGAAACAAAATATTCTTCCCGCATGTGAATAGGCATTTGGATTGATATGGATGACCAGCTGCTGCATCATATATCTCAGCTGAAATATCAATACTATACTCACTTCTCTATCTTTTCTCAACATCACCCCGGTATCAGACAATACAGTATGTGCACATCCTGCCGGAGTCTACCCGTCGCTTTCATGTACAAGCGGCTCTTTTTACAATGCTTGTGTATATACTCATTACATGTGTACATCACTACTGTTCAGAGTACCTCCCAGAATTC